TGCATTCACTCTGTATATCAACCACTCAAAGTCTTTCAGAAGCTCATTACTCTAAATATATATATAGGAAAAAAATGAGTAAGCTGAAGTAGTACAGTGATATCTCCAAAATAGTATCAAAGGAATTCAACTCTAGGGCTTAGCTCCTTTCTCCTCAAACTAAAAGAAGACTTGCCAAGACTGTGAATGAGGTTAGCACAATTCTCATGCAGATACACCTGCTAATGAATAAACTGCCCCTCTTGAAATACTAGAAATAGGTGAGGAGTTTGTTCGTATTAAGAGAAATACCACACTTAGAATAGAATACTGCAATTGTACCTTACACTCATTCTGTCTTTATTTTAGATCCTTCACATTTAGGTATTCTAAGTCAGTTTCACTGTAAGAAAATTCGTTAGACAGAAATTGGAGTGAAGAGCTTTCAGGAAGGGATAGGTCTTAAGAGGACGGAAGTAAGAGAAGGAAAATAGAATGGGAAGAAAGGAATCACGAGGGGCTGTGATCTCAGTCAGTTATATTGCATAGAATGTGCCCTGCCCAAGCACAAATACACCACATATTTGGTCCCCAAAACTTGAAGCAAGGTGCAAAACACTTATACCCCATGTTGGTTGCTGTCCATGAGTTGCCACCATGTGAGTGAGGCAGATGGAAATCTAACCCATGCCCGGGGGGGGGGGGAACAGACTTGGCATCTGTTCTCTCAGTGACCTCCACCAGCCTTCTCATTCATGTCTTTCTCTATCATCTCAGAAGAGAGGTGACCCATGTAACTTAAGGCATCATTGTGCAAATGTGTATGGCTCTTTTGAGATATTATTTAACACAAACAACTGCAGCCTCTGTCTTGCTCTCTGCTGGACTCTTCCTGGAGGGAAAGCAGCCACCACGATATGGAGACACAGGTAACTTTATGGAGAATTCTTCAGGACAGGAACATAAAGAAGCCTGCTACCAACAGCCAGGTAAGGAGGTCTGCTTAGGGAAGGACATGCACATCACATTTCACCTTTATTTCAGGACTGATTTTATTTATTTCAAACGCAGAGTGAAACAATACGACAGAAATGTCTTCAACCCCCAGAAGCAGACCAAGGCAAAACCAAAAGCCAGGCTCTCCAACCTGATCTCCCACTTGGGTACAGCCTCAGCACTTGGACCATTCTGCTGCTTTTCCAGGCACAAAAGCAAGGAGCCGCACCACCAGCACAGCCACCAAGCTTCCAACAGGTACTCCATTATGGCATGTGACCATTAGAAGCAGCAGGTGCTTAACCATTTGGCCCACAATGCCAGTCCCTAACTTAAGCCTTTTTCAACCCTTCTTTCTTCCAAGGGACAGCTGGCTATTTAAAACTTATTTTGGGGACCACATAAAATTTTCAACTCAAAAATTAGTTTGCTGTAGATGTATTGACTTTAGAGTCCTCCCTGTGGCTGTTTTGGTAGACTCAGATCATATGATCTTGCTAGCCTTATAATACCACTGGGAAACATTTCCCAACCCTGTGATGTTTACAGCCCCAGCTGACATCCTCACAGCAATCTCTCTTAGAGACTCTGAGCCAAATACCCTAGGTCATCAGTTCCCAAAACTCCGACTCACAATAAATTGAATAATAATTGCTTACTATTGCTTTGAGCCATTAAGTTTCTATCCTCCATCACATGGAGAGGATTATGAGTTAGCAGCAGCCAGGACAGTGACACCAGCAGGCAGATGAAACTGCCTGGTAGAGGGGATATAAGCAGGGCAAAAGCATCACCAACCACCTGGTATCTCTCAGATTTGTTTAGCTAACCTGCCACACTACTTAAGTATAGGTGATGTTTCAAGAGGTTGGGTCTCTGTCAACCATGTAACACACCTCAACTGATTTCTCATGTCTTGAAATGGTCCTGTGTCGGAACACAGTCCATAGGACAGCTGGGGGCCAAGGCCTGTGGGACCCTGTTGAAAAGAGGCTCCAGGAACGATAAGGTGGAGGGCCTCTCACGCACAGTGTGCTCCTGCCTGCAGTGAGTCCTCGGATGTGCTTTCATGTTCTCCTTGAAGATAGGAGACACCTGTGCTCTGTCTAGTCCATCAAGGATGGACAGTACTTTGATCTATTCCCTGTCTTCATAACTTCCCTGTCTTCTGACTAAGCCGTCTTGTTAGCTTCTTCGTAGTCTGTTCTTCGACATGACCTAACTGTGAGTTATACTTGAACCATTGTTTCACAAAATGTATAAAAACTGAAACTCTGGAAATAAACTTATTCACTTGCCAAAAGAGAGCACTGTCTCCCATTTCTTCAGGTCGCATCTCCTCTGCAGGAACCCGCAAGATATACTTGTAATCCTGAGACAGCCCAGGCCAATCCCTATGCAGACATTCGGGCGAATACGTGGATAGATGGACTGTCAGCCTGTGTTTCTGCCTTTCAAATAAATTGTATGTCTGTGTGTGTGTATATATATACCATAACAAGGTAGATTTTTTTTAGTAACAAGGCAGTATTGTAAAACTAGTGAAAATATGTTTTTAAGATTTATTTTAATTTTTATTGGAAAATCAGATATACAGAGGAGGAGAGAGGAGCCAGAGAGGAAGATCTTCCATCTGCTGATTCACTACCCAAGTGGCAGCAATAACTAGAACTGCTCCAATCCAAAGCCAGGAGCTCTGAGCCACTTCCAGGTCTCACACATGGGTCAGGGTCCCAAAGCTCTGGACCATCCTTGTCCACCTTCCCATGCCAAAAGCAGGGAACTGGATGGGAAGTCGGACCTCCTGCGATTAGAACTAGCACCTGTATGAGATCCCAGCGATTGCAAGGCAAGGACTTTAGCCGCTAGGCTATGGCACCAGGCCAGAAAATATTCTTTATAAATGAAGTTGTGAATGGACAATATCTTGAAGAACTCCTCACTACTAATAATCACTGTAAGATACACTTAGGCTAAAACAAAAACAATTCCAAATGAACACATGAAATGGCAAAGGGGGGAAAAAGCATAAAATGTAAGAAAATTAGAAACAACTATTGAATTTTTTATTTATTCATTGTACTTATTGGAAAAGACAGAAAGAGAGAAACAAAGGGAACCCTCCTCCACTGGGTTATTCCCCAAGTAGCAACATCAGTTAGGGCTGGGCCAGGGGTCCAGAATGCAATCTGATCCCGCCATGGAGAGATCCAGTCACTTCAACCCACACTACTGACTCCTGGGGTGCATATCAGAAGAAAGTTGCAGTCAGGATCAGAGCTCTGAATCGAGCCCAAGCACACCAATCTGAGAGCTGAACACCACAAGCAGTGTCAAACCACTCAGACAACCTCCTTCACAGTTCAGAGTAACGATGCCTAGTGGCTTGTCAAAATGTCAAAAAGCCCAAAAGGTGGGAAGAGAGTTAAGCAGTTAGCTTATGTCGTTCAATTACATTGCATAAGTGCAATGTAAATAGACAGTAAAAATTAAAAATGCATATTATGATATCTATGATTCTCCTAAGGGTAATAGGAAATGCAAGTCTAAAAATCTATCAGATGGTAGAAAGCAATTAAATGCTAAAGAACACAGGAAAAGTAGAATGGTGAAAGAGAAAAATGGCAGTTTGATGCCTAACTACTCCAGGATTTCATATCATTAGATTATTATAAGAAGTATGGATCAGGCTTTTCTCTTCAAAACTAAATATTAATTAATAAACATTCATTAATAAAAATTACTAGCTGGCAAAGGCATTAGGTCAAGCTATTTATGTCAACAGTGGTCATGTTCAGTCTCAGCACACGGTATCCCAAAATACCGACCACAGGAGCTCATAAATGTCACATCAAAATGTATCCTTTAATATATTGATTGCTTCCAGCTGCTCATTGTGAGAAAGCACAAACTTGGTAGCTCTGAAGAGCTGCTCTTCTATTAAATAAATTTCAATTATTAAGGAAATATGCATTAGGTAAAATGGAAAACCTGATTCATGGTATCCTGATTCATTTTGGTCTCTGATCATTTATCTCACTACCCTAGAAGACTCTGTTTCTTTCTGTACAGCAGGAGGCTGTACTTTAAGCGGCTGCTCTTCTCACAGTCTCCTATGTTCCAGAGACTCTCATCCCTGCAACAACTGATTATCTGTTTCTTCTGCCTGCCTGTTAATTTGCCTTTTGTCAATTTAATTCCCACCCTTACCAAATAAAACTATTACTGTTTTCTCTCTGTAATACTTGCAATGACATAGTCAAATGAATTGCTTCAATTTATAAATATAACTTTATAAAGACTTCATAAATGTAACTTTTCCTAGTGCCACACAACCTGAAACTAATTTTATAACCTAGCGTGCAATACCTTGAACATAATTTTAAACAAATTCCTACAGCACACAAAATCTCGTCATCACAGGATGTTTTTTCATCAAAATGGTTTTTTTTAGTCTCACTTATTTACATGTGAAATGCTAAATTTTCCACAAACAGAGGTGGACTTTACATTGATGAAACTACTCATACATTCTGGAATTTCTGTTTTCAGCTACTACAGAAAACACATCAAACTATGCAAAACACTAAATTATTTTGTTCCATTCCATGGCTTTTCTTTAATAGTTTTCACTTGGCTTAAATTATTAGAAGTTGTTTTTGGTAGTGATATTCTTTTAGGAACTTCCGCAAGTTAAAAAAAGCACATATAAGAAAAAATATTACAAAATGGATTTAATAAATTAACTCAGTGGAGCCAACAAGTTTTTTTAAGTTATTCAACGCTGATGTGGTTTATTCCATGCTATGTAATGCTACTTCAAATGGTTTATGAAATAAAACTAACTGAAGCTGATTTTGCACAGAAAAATTTAACATCCACATATAATTTTATAACACATATTTTTTATGAACTTTTTTAAGATGTCCAATATTTGGTTCTACTTAATTGAATATACTCTATTCTGTGGTAAAATTAATGGCTTACTTTCTTTTCTCTTTCTGGTTGTAAAACAAATGTCTTACTTTCTTCTGTTGGCCAGCGTCTCTTCACCATTCCTCGCAGAGATCTTCATCCCATGCTTCTCTTTGCTCTCATCAAAAGAACAACGAGGACTTCGAGTAGGAGATCTTACTGGGCGGCCACAAATCCTATTTATCTTTCAGATTAGAAAACAAAAATACAGTTAGAAATCATCCTCTAGCCCTTCTGAGAATATAAAATTTCAAAGGCCTAAGGAACAATCACTTATTTTTTTATACATAAATATCCATCAAAATATGCTTGCCAATGTTTTACAGGGAACCAAATTTTTATATACAGTGACCATAAAAATATCCATGTGATATGGATTTATACAGCTTGAAGTATACATGTACAAACTATGCAGAATTAGATACATAAATTAATTAACGGACTACTTTTATAAATAAAACTAAACCAAATATTATTTCTGGTTTACATTTATGATACATCACACTCTTGAACAATTTCTTAAGTGGACTGGCAGTATATGCTGCCCTTTTCTAAATGAGTGCTAGGCACAAGAGCAAATGCCTTTATAATTTTCTTAAGATCCTTTAAAATGATAATGTCTTTAATATAAAGATGTCACTTCACAGTAGCTGTATCTTTTCTGATGTGATTTCCAGGATGTCATCACAGTTTTTAAACAGGAAAACTAAAGGATTTTCTAAAAAGATTTATATTGATATTAATTTGTATACACTGTATTTTGAAAGACAGAAAGAGAAGAGAGAGATGAACAGGCACAGAGAGATATCCCATCTTGTGGTTCACATCCCAAATGCCCATAACAGTCAGGATTGGTCCAGGCTGAAGCCAAGAGTGAGCAACTGCATTTAGTCCTTTGGTACTGGAGTCAGGAACCCAAACACTTAGGCTATCACGTGCTGACTTTCAGGATGCAGGTTCGCAAGAATTTGGATCTGAACCAGGAGAGTAAGGAGTCAAGTAATGCTATGATATGGATGCTGGAATCCCATGCAGGTTGATAGCCTACTGCAGATAGTACCTCTAAATCTTTAAAAAGTTTGCCTCAGAATCATCAGTTTGGGTTATTCTAATTTCTCCTTTTTAGTGCTATGACCCTAGAAATCTGGCAGAATCCTTTCTAACCTGACTTCTTGATATACAGGGCAAAGAGGTTAGAAAAAACTATCCCAAAATTATTTTAAGACTCTTAACTTCTCTGACTTTTCCATGTAGTATTCATTCAAAAAGTTAGACATCCATTCACTCATTCTGATCCATATTTATGTGGCAACCAGGATTTGCAAAGCACATGCATCAACTACTGTAACAGACAGCAGATGTTATCTAAAATTCTAATTAAATTCTGCTCTAGCAAAGCTTACATGCCCGGAAGAAAAAACATTACCAATTATCAACATGCAATATAACATGAATATCAGAAAAAGGTGGATCCCTTTCAGCTGTGATAAGGAGTGAAAAAGAGCAGGAGAAAATATTCCATTTAGGATGAGACTGTGCATCTGTTGGCTATGTAAAAATTTCTTTCAATGCAACCAAATTATGAATAAATATTTACCATATCCCACTATGTTAGATATTAGGTATACAAATATCAAACAGCATAACCCCATGCACACATCAGAGATTAAAAAAAAAAAAAACCTTTGTAAAATGATAATTACCGTATTACATGGAAAGAGAAACCCCAAAATTGGATGGAAAGCAATAACATAATAGCACTCACATAGAAAATAGGCAGTATAGTTGCATAAGACAGTACAATACCAAAGAAGTGCACATCTACATAACAAAAACTGTATATACATAATGGGTGATGCCTAATATGGGAAAGTGGCCTAGCAAGAAGTATGGCTGGTATGAAGAGTGTCACAATGCTATGCATGACTTGGCTTCGAAGATACAGAACAAATGGAGTACAGGCAAAAAATAAATAAATAAATAAATAAATAAATAAATAAAAATTCAAGCAGGGATACCGTACCTTAAGATTTCCACAAGAAACAGCTGAGTTGGGGGAGGACAGGACCACAAGATACTCTTCCAGGAGACAGAGGGTAAACATTGATGCTGAGAGTCGAGTGGCCAAAACAAAAAGAAGGGGGCAGCAGATGGTAGATGAGCAGGGGAGAGAGCCATTTCATTTGCAGATTCAATGCATATAATCTTGTCTCAAGAAAGAATAACAGTGAAATTTAGAAAAAGGCCTGAGAAATGCAGGTGTAAGCCATAAGAGACTGACAGGAGAAATCTGACTTTCCTGGAAAGAGGGTGTCATAAAAGTTCATAGTAAAAGGAAAGTATGACTGAAGTTTAGACTGTACACAGATCTTGGAAGACTTTAAATGCAACACTAGGAAGCTTTTTTTTTTTTACTATACAAGGGCTCCTGGTGGTGGCTGAATGGAAAGTAAAATACCAGAGCTGATACTTAGCAAATGCTTCTGACTGTTGAGAGTAGAGAGACAAAAGTACCAAGGCAAGTAAACTGCTAATGGACTCTGCCAGGGGACCAGGGGGAAGAAATTTTAATTCCGAACTACAGCAGTGAAGTGTTCATGAATTAAAGACAGTAAAGTAAAATCCAAAGAGCCTGGAAGTGAGAGAAAGTGAGAAATACACATGTCATAGGCCAGAGCTAAAGGACTTAAGGTGAATTTCCAATTCCAGATGCTAAAAAATGGTCACGCGGGCATCCAAATTCATTACTAAAATATCCAAAAGTACAGCAAATATCTTAATTGTCAATAACTCCTAGGATAGGCAACTTAAGAAAAATGCTCTCAGTTGATGCTGGGATCTCAAGGCGAACACTGTTTAAAGGTGCAATGTACCATTTTCAAATAAAGGAGCAGAGAGAATGGGGAAAAGAATCTGCAATAGAGATCCAATATAGCGAACGACAGGGCCTGAGGCAAGTTTGAAACCACTGTGAACCTCACTTTACTCAGTCCCGAAATGAGAAAATGCTGATATGAGTTTAGTGAAATCTCATCTCATCCTGTGGTCCTAAAAGCATATCTGCTATTGAACATGTTCAGGAGGATGGAAAGCTTTAAAAAAAAAAAAAAAGCACCATCCTTACAACATCTCTGTTTCCACTCTCATCTTGGCAATACTTTTACAACCACAGGAGAAAATACATTAGACATTTTGATTGTATCCAAAGAACAAACACTCTCAAAGCAGATTCCAATAAACACAAGTAAATTCTAAAGTGCTTACATCTGTAGATTTGCTAGCCACTTCACGCTTTACTGAAAGGGAAAGGAAAGCCGTCTGTTACCAGGACATTAACCTGTCACCTTAGCTCCCCTGAGGTGAGCCAATTTCGGTGGCACGTTTCAATACTGTAGCATCTAGCTACTGAAAAAAAAATCTTCACATGGGTGTTGAAATTTTTCATCTGTGACTTACACTGTAATTTCCTCCTTCTTCTCCTCCCTGGTCTCTACCATCCTCCCCTGCAATCAGCCTGAAATGTCTCCAAAAAGAAAAAAAATTGCCTTGCTCCCTAATGCTTGGCTACTCCTGCTTTGAGTCCCACCGCTGGCTGCCCACTGCTTTTCAAGTACCATCTCACCTTGAAATGACTCGTATCACTTCCACTCCGGTCAAGTATTTGTTTCAACAACTCCTCATCGCTAAGTCACCACCCCCAGCTCTCACTATGATCTTGACACTGAGAAATACAGACCTGTTTTAGCACCTCCCTGTCTCTGCTCACTCAGTCCTCCTATTCACATCTTCAAAGCTTCCAAGTTTTTAACTGATAATTCCATAAAGTTCTATAAGTTTATTCCATAAAGTTCTATAACTTAGACTTCTGTCTTAGTTTGGTTTCCATAAAATAGAGGTCTCCTTTTCTTTTGCAATGGTACTTTTGAAGTGTTGATTAAAGATAATGATAATACAAGTTGAACAGCAAAACCACGTAGAATGGTACAATCAGAAAATTCAAGAATGCAGAGGTACTATGAATAATTATTAAGCAATCTGCCTTAGAAAATGAGACTCTGGAAACCATCTAGCACCTGTTCCCATAGGCAAAGGTGACTTCTTGCTTGTCCTCGGGATATGTCTAGGGTTCATGGTATTAACAGAGAAGTGAGTAAAAGAAATTATATGAACAATGACTCTGCTAGTATGTTTAAAATGATAACAACATAAAAAAAACAAAGTAATTATCAAAACTGATATTTATACTGCCAGTAGGAAACATTATTATTGGTAATCCACAAAACTGAGCTTATTCTCTCATGTTTAGCTTCATTGTTTCTCAGAAGTAATTTTGAAAAGAGGTAACTTGTTAGGGGTAGAACTTGTTAAAACTATTCAGAACAAACTTTTCTATAAAGAAAGGAAACACATATTAGTTTTATTCCAAGAAGAACAAACACAGGAAAGACGTTGAGAGAGCAGCACCTGCCACACTGGCTTCCTGCATGGATGCTGATTTGAGTCCAAGTTGCTCCACCTCCCCAGCGATGGCCTTGGAAATACCACAGGATGGCTCCAGTCCTCGGGCCACTGCACCCATGGACCTGCAACAAGCCCTGGCTCCCAGCTTCAGACCAGCCCAGCTCAGGCCATTATGGTCATTAGGTGAGTGAACCAGCAAATGGAAAATACCTCTTTCTTTCTCTTTCTCTGACTTTCAAGTAAAATAAACCAATCTTTAGAAAAAAGTTGTTCAGACAGAACACAGAAGTAGGGAGTAGGAGGAAGCTAAATTACCAACTCTGACATCTTTCCTCAAACCATGATATTGTATTAATGGATAAAGAGTAAAGGTACAGTTATCAAAACCTTGCTTTAGAAAGATCTGACAGTGTCACTATAATCAACAGGACTACCCGATCAGTAAGCTGAGAGATTAATGTAAACTAAGTAAGGAGTGAATCAGTAAAGAAGAGAATGCTGTTTGTAGAGCAGAATGAACCTGATTTGTCTGCTGATTGGTTTCTTACATGAATTGTAAGTGTCTTTTCAATTTGGTATACAGGATAAATATAGAACTAGTAACTGACTTGTGCATGTTCGAAGACAAAAAAAATGTTATGCTTTGGAGCTATCTATTCCTTGATGTAGGCAATTAATTCTCTTTTAAATCTGCTTTGTTGTAATTCCTGAAAGGCAATTCTC